CGAGCCATCACAGACACACTTGCATACATGCATGACAGTAAATTAATGGGACGTATATTTTCGTAACAACCATTTTTCTTTCTTTTATCGCGGAAGACAAATTGCTGGGGTTGGTTGGAGGATGCTTGCTGGAACTGCTGGTCTCCAGATGTGATTCTGAGGCTGTATCCTGCCATAGAAGATTCACAGATGATACTTGGTTTGATGTGAGGTATCCACAGTAATGGTAATTTTATCTGTCTTGAACATACACTGGCTCTGCTGGTATCTATTTTTCTACATTTTCAGGAGATCACTCGGAATCTTTGGTCTCGTGTAGTTTTCTTTGTGTATAGTACATCGAACTCTTTGTTGGAGGGACATTCTATGTGACCTATGGGGAGGTGTGTTGATAATGTTGTCAGTGGTGTTACCTGGTTGGGTAGGGTTTTATCTGTCTAGTATATAGAGTTCTTGCCTGTCGTATACGTTTCTTTATTTTGTCTGGCCTGACGTTTATTACATTAACTCCTGTTTGGTTGTGCTGATCTTCCATTTTGATTCTGTTTGCCCTAAGTCTGGTGCCTGTTGATTAAAAGGCGGAATGCCTTGTTCTGGACTCTTTGTAGATGTAATATGTTGCTTTTTATTGTTAGCGACAAGGGCACACAAGGATATTCCAGTATAGGTCATATTATCATCTTCTTGATATGAGAGGAGGAGGAGGGTGGTTGAACTGTATGATTGACGAGTTGAGCTTTTTACTTAGTTTGGCTTCTTTTGAGTTATGTGTGATGTGATGGAGTAATCTCGAAGCCAGGATCTTATTCGGGTTGTTGATGGGATGGATTGAAACTCTGATGGAGACACCTCCATTGTTTGCAATTGCAGTGAAATTTGTTTGGGGAAGGACCAGAAGATGGCGCAATTCACTGAGTTGTGTAAAAATTAGGATGATTATGTGTACATAGCTCTTCACAAAAAATTATAAACAGTGACAACTTATGCTATCAAGCATTATACAGTGCAATAAGACAGTGGAAAAGTTACGTACACTTGGGTACAATAACATGGTGTACGACTGTGCTTGAAGTAGGGTAAAGAGGTCTGTAATACAAACAGTAACCATCAGAGGATGTATTACAACAGAAACCACCAGGGATGTATTACAACAATAACAACCAGGAGATGTATTACAACAGTAACCACTAGAGGATGTATTAATACAAGTAACCCACCAGGGTATGTATTATAACAGTAAACCACCAGAGATGTATTACAACCGTAACTACCAGGGGGCTGTATTTTTATAACAGTAACCGCCTGAGGATGTATTAACAGTAACTACTTGTGGATGTATTACACAGTAGCTACCAGGGGATGTATTACAACAGAAACTACCAGAGGATGTATTACAGCAGTAACCACAAGGGGATGCATTACAACAGTAACCATCAGGGGATGTAGTACAACCGTATACTACCCAGAGGAAGTATTGCAACAGTAACTACCAGGGGATGTATCATAACAGTAACCACTAGGGGATGCATTACAGCAATAACTTCCAGGGGATGCAATACAGCAGTAACCACCAGGTGATGTTATTACACAGATAAAATACCAGGCAGACGTATTAAAACAGTAAACCACCAGAGGAAGTATTACAACAGAGACTACCAAGGGATTTGTTACAACAGTAAAAACAGAGGAGGTATTAGAACAGTAATACCAAGGGGATGTAATTACAACTAGAGTACTAACAGAGTTTTATTCATCAGTAACACCAGAGGAAGTATTACAACTGGAGACTGCCAGAGGATGTATTTCACAACAGAATAATTACCAGGGGATTGTATTATCAACAGAACTACAGAGGGATGTATTACAACAGTAACTACCAGGGGATGCATTACTAAAGTAACCACCAGGGGATGTATTACAACGGTAAAGAATAGGGGATGTATTACAACAGTAACCTGCATAGGATGTATTACAACAGTAACTATCATGGGATGTATCACAACAATAACTACCAGGGGATGAATTGCAACAGTAGCTACCAGAGGATTAATTACAACAGTAACTACCAGGAGATGTATTGCAACAGTAACTACCATAGAATTTACTACAACAGCACTAGAGGATGTATCACAACAGTGACCACCAGGGGATGTATTACAACAGTAACCACTAGAGGATGTATTGCAACAGTACTAGAGGATGTATTACAACAGTAACTACAAGGGGATGTATTACAACAGTAAGCACCAATGGATGTATTACAACAGTAACTAGCAGGGGATGTATTATAACAGTAACCACCAGAGGGTGTATTACAACAGTACTAGATGTATTACAACAGTAAGTACAAGGGATGTATTACAACAGTAACCACCAGAGGGTGTATTACAACAGTACTAGATGTATTACAACAGTAAGTACAAGGGATGTATTACAACAGTAACTACCAGGGGATGTATTACATCAGTAACCACCAGAGCATGTGTTACAACAGTAACCAAAAGGGGATGTATTGCATCAGTAACCACCAGGGGATGCATTACAACAGTACTAGATGTATTACAACAGTAACTACTAAGGAATGTATTACAACAGTAACCACCATATGATGTCTTACAACAGTAACTACCAGGGGATGTATTACAACAGTAACTACCAAGGTGTGTATTACAACAGTTACCACCAGGGGATGTATTTCAACAGTAACTAAAAGAGGATGTATTGCAACAGTAACCACCAGAAGATGTATTACAACAGCAACCATCAGGGGATGTATTACAACAGTAACCAACATGGTATATATTACAACAGTAACTACCATAGAATGTATTACAACAGTAATCACCAAAAGATGCATTACAACAGTAACCACCAAGGGATGTATTAAAACAGTAACTACCAGGGGATGCATTAGAACAATAACTACCATGGGATGTATTACAACAGTAGCCACCAGGGGATGCATGGCATACAAAGAATACATAACCTTTATTCAGCGCATGTACACACCCTCATAAAATGGCTATCTTCCCCAACCAGAGAACCAGGTGCTAAGGGTTGATGATGGGTCCCCATCGTTCAGTCAATACCCAGGTTCCAGCCAATGAGAAGATGGCTTTGGCAATCGCAGAGGTGTTGTGGGTACGACACACCTTTCTGCCCTTGTCTTTCCCATTCTAGAGCTGTTTGAATCACGGTCTGCTCTCTAGTGGCTTCTATTCTGCCTTGCTTATCGTGGAGTGCACTAATGCCTATTGTAGTACATAGTGTATATAGTGTACATACTTCTGTTCTAAATTGGTCAAGAATAATATAAGTCAAAAGTTTTTCTGCTGTTTATTTTGCTACCTTAACTCCCAGGATAACAGACCTTTGGGACTCCTGGGTTGTAACAGGATGTATTACAACAGTAACTACCAGGGGATGTATTACAACAGTAACTACCAGAGGATGTATTACAACAGTAACTACCAGGGGATGTATTTCAACAGTAACTACCAAGGGATGTATTACAACAGTAAATGCCAGAGGATGTATTACAACAGTAACGACCAGAGGATGTAGCACAACAGTAACTACCAGGGGATGTATTACAAGAGAAACTACCAGGGGATGTATTACAACAGTAACTACCAGAGGATGTATTACAACAGTAACCACTAGGGGATGTATTACAACAGTAACTACCAGGGGATGTATTACAACAGTAACCACCAGGGGAAGTATTACAACAGTAACCACTATAGGATGTATTACAGCAGTAACCAACAGTGGATGTATTACAACAGTAGCCACCAGGGGATGTATTACAACAGTAACTTCAATATGATGCATTACAACAGTAACCACCAGGGAATGTATTACAACAGTAACCACCAGAGGAAGTATTACAACAGTAAATACCACCGGATGCATTACAACAGTAACTAACTACCATGGGATGTATTACAACACTACGGGAGGATGTATTACAAGAATAACCACAAGGGGATGTATTACAACAGTAACTATCAGGGGATGAATTACAACAGTAACTACCAGGGGATGTTTTACAACAGTAACCACCAAAGGATGTATTACAACAGTAATCACCAGGGCATGTATTACAACAGTAATCACCAGGGCATGTATTACAACAGTAATCACCAGGGCATGTATTACAACAGTAATCACCAGGGCATGTATTACAACAGTAATCACCAGGGCATGTATTACAACAGTAATCACCAGGGCATGTATTACAACAGTAATTAGAGGATGTATCACATCAGTAACTACCAGGGGATGTATTACAACAGTAACTACCAGGTATGCATTTCAACAGTAACTACCGGGGGATGTATTACAACAGTAATTTCCAGGGGATGTATCACAACAGTAACTACCCGGGGATGTATCACAACAGTAACTACAAGAGGATGTATTACAACAGTAACTACCAGGGGATGTATTACAACAGTAACTACCGGGGGATGTATTACAACAGTAATTTCCAGGGGATGTATTACAGCAGTAACTATCTGGGGATGTATCACAACAGTAACTATCTGGGGATGTATCACAACAGTAACTGCCGTGGGATGTATTACAACAATATCCACCAATTGATGTTTTATAACAGTAACCACCAGGGGATGTATTGCAACAGTAACTCCCAGGGGATGTATTACAACAGTAGCTATCAGGGGATGTATTACAACAGTAACTATCAGGGTATGTATTACAACAGTTACTGTCAGGGAATGTATTACAACAGTAACTATCGAGGGATGTATTACAACACTAACTCTCAGGAGATGTATTATAACAGTGACTATCGAGGGATGTATTACAACAGTAACTGTCAGTGGATGTATCATAACAGTTGTAGACAGGACGTGGTAAGTACTGTATAGTCTGAATAACGCCAAGTGTGCCACTTTACCTGGTGACATGTGGCAAGTTAGCCACACAATATACACGAAGGTCAGCTTTGGGTTCCCAGTTGAACCTGAACTGTGTGTGCTGAACATCCACACTGCTGCGTGTTTATAAATAGATTACAAGATTCTCTACACTTTGCTTGTTGTTCTCGAGTGTATGTACAAACATATGAGCGTATGAGGGCATATATATACCTGTCCTCACAGGTAGCAACTTGCGCTACCTACTGTCACAGGTAGCAACTTACTCTAGCTACCGTCACAGGTAGCAACTTACGCTACCTGCTGTCACAATTAGCAATTTACTCTACCTACCGTCACAAGTAGCGACTTACTCTACCTACTGTCACAGGTAGCAACTTACTCTAGCTACCGTTACAGGTAGCAACTTACGCTACCTGCCGTCACAGGTAGCAAATTACTCTACCTACTGTCACAGGTAGCAACTTACTCTACCTACTGTCAGAGGTAGCAACTTACTCTGCCTACCGTCACAAGTAGCAACTTACGCTACCTTCCGTCACAGGTAGCTACTTACACTACCTGCCGTCACAAGTAGCAACTTACTCTACCTACCGTCACAAGTAGCAACTTACGCTACCTACCGTCCCAAGTAGCAGCTTACGCTACCTGCCGTCACAAGTAGCAACTTACTCTACCTACTGTCACAGGTAGCAACATACGCTACCTACCCTCACAGGTAGCAACTTGCTCTACCTGCCGTCACAGGTAGCAACTTAAAATACGTGTCGTCACAGGTAGCTACTTACGCTACCTGTCCACGCCCTTCATCACTATGAGTGCTCCAGTTTTCGAAAAGGTAAGTTATCTCTAGAAAAGTTTAACTCACTGAATTAATAACGATACCATGCATTTGTCTGTTTTAAGACAACGTTTTTTGTTGGGGGTTATGCTACTTATAAAAATATAAGTATGGAACAAGGGTGTAAATGGGGACCGGCACATGGTCGAGGAGAGTGAGAGAGAGAGAGAGAGAGAGAGAGAGTGAGAGAGAGAGAGAGAGAGAGATAGCGATAGCGTGAAGCAAGCTTTCATGCCACAAGACGGGCAGAAAGCAGTAACTTCACTCTGGCTGTACCCTTCTCCAGAACATCACTCCATCTGAGATCATATATACCCAGGATGACTCGAGTATGGAACACATTCGTACAGCATAATGATGTCAACGAGATAAAGTCAGTTGAACACATGAAAATGCTGGCCCACAGATGGCTCCAACTTCATCCTGTTCCGTACTTGTATGTCTCATAACAATAAAAATGCTTTCAAATGAGCTGATGTAGGTAACAGCTATTAGCTTGTTAATAAAGTCAGAAACCCTTAACTTGTAAATAGCTTGTCAATAAAGCTAGAGATACTTAACCTTGTCAAACACTGGGAAAAAAAATGGGTGGATAGCATGGTCGGGGGAAAAGGAGAGAGAGAGAGAGAGAAGAGAGAGAAGAAGGAAGAGAGAGGAGAAGAGGGGGAGGAAGGGGAAGAGAGAAAAGGGGAAAAAAGGGATGGGTGGATACCTTTTCTTCAAATAGGTCAAAATTTATGTACACAAATACATTGTTTGTACAGTTTTTGGTAACATTTGTAATATATTGTACAGGAGGAACACTTGTAATACATTTTTTGTACAGTTTGGGTAACACTTGATAATCATTGTTTGTACAGTGTTGGTAACATTTTGTAATACATTGTTTGAAGTTTTTGAAACATTGAATACATTGTTTGTCAGTTTTTGGTAACATTTTAAATACATTGTTTGTACAGGATGGTAATTTTGAAAAATTACATGTTTGTACAGTGATGGTAACACTTGATAATTTTTACAGTGATGGTGCACTTGTAAACATTGTTTGTACAGTGTGGTAAACTTGAAAATAATTGTCAGTGATGGTAAACTTGAAAATACATTGTACAGGTGGTGACACTGATATAATTGTTCAGTTTGGTGACATTGATAATACTTGTTTGTACAGTGAGGGTAACATTGATAATAATTGTACAGTGTTTGGTGAATTGATAATACATTTTTAAAGTGATGGTGACACTTGATAATACTTTGTTCGTTATGGGACATTTTTATATACATGTACAGTGAGGTGACATTTGATAAACATTGTTCATTAGGTGACATTTTATAATACATCGACATGATGGTGACATTTGATAATACATTGACAGTGATGGTGCATTTGATATACTTGTTCGTTATGGTGCCCTTTTATAATAATGTCAGTGATGGTGACACTTTTAAAATACATTGTACAGTGATGGGACACTTGATAATATATTGTACAGTGATGGGAACTTGATAAATATTGTACATGTTGGTAACACTTGTATTACTTGTTTGTCAGTTTTGGTAACATTTGAAAATACATGTTTGTACAGTGAGGGAAAAATTGAAAATACATTTTTGACATGATGGTAACCTTGAAAATACATTGTTTGTACAGTGAGGGTGTGTTACAATTTTTGTTCTTTTAAGTATGTTTCTTACTAAAATGGTATACTTTTCCCATTTTTATTTTTGCTTTTTTCCCTTTTAAAAATTATATCGGGACTAATTCCCTTTAGTAGCTAAAATGGATTTACTCGACTTTAAAAAATTTATTATCGGGGCCCGTACTTTTTTTTTTAAAAAATTTTTATTAAAACCCTTTACAAAAAGTAAAAAGGGGATGCATAATCAAGGACGGGAATACAAAACATTCTTTTTGTGCTACTATTTACCAGGTTATTCCTGGCGGGAACAAGTATTTTTAACATCTTTTAAAAGCAAACAATACCGCTGAGGCAAACCTCATCAATGTAAACAGTCTTTAAATATTTTGCCGCCAAGCCTTTTAAACCCAACGAAAAACAAACCAAAATAAAACTTTACATAGTTTAACAATAAAAAAATTGAATAAGGGAACATTTTTCCTTTCACAAAAAAAAACAAAAATACAAATTTAAAAAATCAAAAGGGGATTATTTAAAGTTAAAAATTTTCTTTCCTGACTAAAACCATAACCCCCTTTTTAACACACAATATATTTTACTACACTTATCATGTCAGTAAAGTAAAAAGCCCCAAACCCAAAGGGCTACCATAAAACTAAAAAAAAAAAGACAAAACCTAACATACCCGCTTTGACGGGGTACATCCCCGCTATGACAGGGTACAAAACCCCATGACGGGGTACATCCCCGGCTTTTTACGGGGGTTCATACCCGCTTTTGGACGGGGGAAATACCCGTTTAGACAGGGTACAGAGTATTGATTAAGTTATTTTTACTTATACCCAAACCAATGGGAATTTTCGCGGAACGAAATGATTCCTTATGCACAATAGAGAAATAGAAATTTTACAATTATTAATTGTTAACCCTCTAATACAATAATTCGGGTTTGAAAACAGAACAAAATAAATGTAACATCAATAATAAAAAAACCCTAAAACAAGTTTTTATAAAAAAAACCTGGGCACATTAAAAAGGGTTTTTTAAACCCCAAACCCATACATAATTTTTTTTTTTTTTTTTTTTTTTTATTTTTTATTTAAAACAGACCCAAATACAAAAAAAGGGAAAATAGTAAAAATTTAAAAAAACCATATGATATTACAAAACCTCTATTTACAAAACCCCGGTACATTTTAAAAAACCCCATAGATCAAGGCCTATTACAACCAAAATACAAAAACCCAAAACAACCATATAAAAACCCAAACCATATACATAACCCACAACCATATACATAACCCACAAATTTTTACATAACCTAAAAACCCCTCCTTTTTATAATAAACATTTTGCCAGTGCAGACACGGCTGACACTTTTTCCCCCCCCCCCTCCCCTTTATGTACACCCCCCTTTCTAAATAACAAACTTTGGGAATTTTTTCCTAATAAAAGGTCATCCCCGGGCCCTCATCAAAACCAAAAAATTTGGGTTTTAGGGCTGAAAAAGAAAAAAAACAAAAAAATTTTTACAGACAAAAAAACAGTATGAAAAATTCCATTCCTTTTACACAACCTGTAATAAGTAAAGAAAATACACCCCCAAATTTTTGATATAAAATTTTAAATGTTAACCATGAATTACAAACATTCAAAACATTGCAAAACGTAAAGTTCACACTAAAAATGCCACAAAGGGGTAAAATTACAAGGCAAATGAAAAATTTTTTTTAAAACCCCCCGACTAAAATAAGCTAGAGTAGAAATTAAGGATAAGGCTGCTTTTTTTTGGTGCCAGCCCCAAAAAAGAATGTTAAATCCCAAAATTTGGGCCAATCTAATTACTTAAAAACAAAGATCCAAAGGGGTCGGAAAATCCTGGCTTTAAAGGAAAATTTTTTAAACCCAGTAACATAACCATCAGGCTTAAAAATGAAACCGGGGAAACCCCCCATATTCTCACTATGCCCAAAAATCTCGAAAAAAACCATGGCGTCCACCAAAACCAATTCTCACTCCCTTTCCCTTTACAAAAACTCTTTCAGTTCCAGAAAAACCCAAAAAAAACCCCCCCCCCCTTTTCCATCCCCCCATAAGGGGACCACCCCTTTGTCCTCCTCGGGGCCCCCCGCCTAAGGGAACCCACAGTAAAGACCCCCTTAAAAACCTTCCGGGGAATTTTTTTTCCCAAAAGGACGCCCCAAAAACCCAAATTTATTCCTACTTTTTCTTTCCCTATAGAATCGGGGGCCGCCAACCCCCTTTTTAAAATCCTCAATCCCCCCTTAACCCCCCATTCCCATGAAATTTTCCGATAATCCACTTTGATATAATTATCCCCTTTCCCAAACACCCCTAGGCACTCCCCTTACATCCAGTAGAAAAACCCCTTAAAAGCGGCAAACGAACCCCCCCCCCAACAGTCTGATAACCCCCCCCAAACCATGATCTCACCCCCCTCCAAGGAGGTAAAAAAAAAAAAAGACCACATAAAAACCCCGTTTCAACATAAACCACAAAACTGCCCAAAAAGCCCCCTTCCACAAAACCCCATCAAAACGAAACACCTCCTTGGAAGCCAGAATCCCCATAAAAAAACCCTTTTAAAATTTCCTTTTAAACTCTACCCGGTACCCAAAAAGTTTACAAAAAATCTTTCCAAAAAACCCCCCCAATAAACTTTTGGTACACCCAAACCCCCTTCAAAATTTCCCTTGCCTTTCACCCCCTCCCCAAACCTTTTTCATTTTTGTTTTTTATCCACCTGTTGAAACTGTCAAAAAAAAATTTCAACATATCTTCAAAAAAACCCTTTCAATTCCCTTCCCCACTCCACCATTTAGTGCCCCCCATAACTTTTCCCCTATTTTAAAACCCCCCCAAAACCCCCCCTTCCCCATAACCCCCAAATTTATATATACACCCATTACTTCAGCCCAAAAGGCCCAAAAAACCCAAACCCCTCTCCGAAAAATCCGTCATAACTACCTTTCCTTAAACCCAAAGCCCCCCCAAAACCCCCACACAAATTTTCGGGCACCCTCCTCTGTTTTCCCCCCAAATCTCGTACCTCTAAGGGGAAAAAAACCTCTGCCCCCCCCCCAAAACCTTCTATAGACAAGTGAATTTACCCCCACTACCCTCTGTTTAAAGCTAATTTCCCTCGCACTTAAACCTCCTAGTCTACTTAAACCTTCCCTGACGGGCCCTCCAAATTTTTACCCTTCTGATGCCGGCACTTCCCCCAAATACCATATCCCACATACCTTGATTCTGTAAAACCCCCTGTCCATTAACCCTACCCCCAAGCCCCCCCCCTATCCAATTACCAAAACCCCCTTCCGTAACCCTTGATTTCAC